CTCTCTCTCCCTCTCTCGGAGCTGAGGACCGAACCCAGGGCCTTGTGCTTGCTAGGCAAGCACTCTACCACTGAGCTAAATCCCCAACCCCAGCTCTGTCTCTCTTTGTACCTGACCCTTGCCTTTTCCTGGCGAGGCCGGAAGCTGGCAAGCCCCAGTGAGCCTCCTGCCTCTTCCCTTCTTAGGCTTGGGTTACAAGGGTGGGCAGGGAGTGTGGGTTGTCGCGTGAGTCATCAGAACTGAACTCTGGTCATTGAGATTATTTAGCAAGCATCATATACCGTGTGAGCCATCTCTCCTGCACCACTAAGCAAGGTTCTATTCCGCAGAGAGACTAATAGCCCCCTGGGATTCTATTATCAATTCAATATAGAAAGTAAGCTGGAAGGATTTCTGTTTTCATTCATTGTTAGGTTCATGGCTACAACTTCTATAATGAAGGATGGGTTGATAAAATAAAAGTATACATAATTATGTACTATATGATGGCAAGGGGCATAACCCACTGATAGTGTGCTAGCCCGTTGCATTTGTGGACCGGAGTTTGATCTGCAGTTTCTTTCCCCAGAAAGGTTTATTAGTATTAGTATTTGTGTGTGTATGTATGTATGCATTCCTCTCTCTCTCTCATTCTGTGTGTGTGTGTGTGTGTGTGTGTGTGTGTGTGTAGGGGGCACGCATGTGCTTGCACCCGTATGATCACACCCATATGTACACATGTGCACGTGCGGAGGTCAGAAGACAATTTTAGAAGTCAGTTTTCTCCTTCCACTGTAGATCTCCAGGATTGAACTCAGGTCATCTGACTTGCATGTAGCATGAATTGTTAGAAGGTCTTATTAATAAAAACAAACCCAGAGCCAGGTATTTGGGTGAACGCTGAAAGATCAGAGAAGCAGAACCAGCCACAGCTAACCTCACCTTGCCAGTTCCTCAGCTGATCCTGTTTCCTCAGACTGGAAGCTTCTGAGTCCTCATCCAAATGGATCTCAGCCGAACTGCTTCTCAAAGCCGAAAAGCTTAACCAGGCTCGAGTTCCTGGTCCTCACACCTTATATACCTTTCTGCTTCCTGCCATCACTTCTTGGGGTTAAAGGCCTGTGCCACCATGCCTGGCTGTTTCTAGTGTGGCTTAGAATTCACAGAGATCTGGATGGATCTCTGCCTCCAGAATGCTAGGATTAAAGGTGTGTGTGCCACTATTTTCTGGCCTCTATGTTTATCTAGTGGCTATTCTGTTCCCTGACCCCAGATAAGTTTATTAGAGTGTATAATATTTTGGGGGACACACCACCACACTTGCACACAAGCATTTTTACCTGCTGAGCCATCTTGCCAGCCCAGAAAAAGTTTTCTATGACATGAGAGTTTTCAGAAATGAAGACACACCAAAAACCCTGTGTGTTTTCATGTTTTCATGAAGAGTACACAGGCATGTAGAATTATCTGTGAACAAAGCAGACAGGATCTAATAAGTAACCCAACAGGAGACTTTGAATAATTTGCCTCTGTATCTCTGTACCTTCAAGTGTAAGGATGTTCCTAAGGAATGGTAAATAACACCTTAATAACAAACAAACAAACAAAAAAACAGCACCAAGAAACCACAATATCTAATCTTTAATACTTTATATTAAAAAGACACATACTCTTTTTTTTTTTTCTGAGACAGGGTTTCTCATGTAGCTTTGTGCCTTTCTTGGATCTCGCTCTGTAGACCAGGCTGGCCTCGAACTCACAGAGATCTGCCTGCCTCTGCCTCCCGGTGCTGGGATTAAAGGTGTGCGCCACCACCACCGGGTTGAAGAAATGTACTCTTACTAATGGTACATGGTAGAAAACCCCTTTCCCAACTCCTGGAACAACACTGGATAGCACCTCTATTCTAAAAATACTATGTAATAACTAAACATATAGCCATTTAAGAAAATGAAGCTTTTGAAAAATTAATAGACTTGTTTTTGTTTGTTTTGCTTCTGAGACAGGGTGTCTAGTCACTTTTTTATTGTTGGGATAAAACATCATGACCAAGGCAACTTAGAGAAGGAAGGGTTGGTTCTGGGCTTAGGTTCTAGAGTCATCAACCTTCACAGCGGGGAGCATGGCAGGAGTGAGAGCTCACATTCTATCCACGGACAGGAAACAGGGCACTCGGAGCCGGCCCCTGTGACATCCCTCTTCCAGCAAGGCCACATCTCCTAGTCCACCCCAAACAACCGCCAACTGGGATCACAAATCCAAGTGCTTGAGACTTACGGGAGACATCTCATTCACATCATTGCCTTCTGCTCCCTCACCTCCATGGTCTCATGGCCTTATCAAAATGTAAAGTGCATTTAGTCCGATTTCAAAAGTCCCGACAGTCTTTCTCAGTCTCAACACTGTTTTAAAATCCAAAGTCCAAGTTTCTTCTGGGGCTCAAGGCAGCCCTTCACTGTAGACCCTGTAAAATAAAAACCTTAAAATTACGTACGATGGCACAGAATTTCCATTACTGCTCCAGAAGGGAGGATCCGGGACATAATGATGAAATATTGGACCAAAACAAGATGAACCCAGCAGGCCAAGCTTCGCATCAGATGTCTGAGGGCTTAGATGGCTATGCCCAATGCCTTTCCAGCTTTGCTGCGTACAACATACTTCTCCCCCTTGGGCTCATTCCTCTCCTTACATGCAATTCCCTTTAGAGAACATCCCACGGCTCTTGAACCTCTAAAATCGTAGGGTCTCCCAAGACTCTACTTTCACAGCTTCATGGGATATTCTCTCAAGGCCTCCATGAAGGGACTACCCTGACACATATTACCTAGCCTCAGAGGCTCTCCTTACCCATGGAGGAAGATGACTAATAACCACACCACAGAGCCCAAATTAGGCTGTCTTTAAATCTCCTCCACCAAAGAAATGAGTCTGTTACTTTTAAATTTAGCCTCTGGCAAGTTCTTAGGACAAGGGCAGAAAGCAGTCACATTCTTTGCCAAAATATTACAAGACCAGTCTCTGGTCTAGTTGCTAATATTGTTCTTCTCTGTAACCTCTTGAGCTGTAACCACAATCTGCATGGTTCTTAGCATTACTGGCTTCCAGGTTCCTGCTAGGATGGCCCATGGAGCTCTTCTTGTAATGTTCAACCTCTTTCCTAGTCTAAATTCCCCCAAATCCTTCTGTTAGATATTTACGCCAACTCAGGCAGCTGGCATGGCTTCCTCTGCAGTGTTCAGAGTCCCCTTGTAAGCCCTGCCCCTGGAGACCTCTGGCTGCCAGGCTCTACCCCTAGATTACTCTGCAGGCTTGGCATTAGTGGCCAGCTACCCTCCCCCCGGG